ATAAATGAAAATTAAAAATGTTTACAAAGTAAATAAAAATTGAAAAAAATGAAAACCAGCCCCGCTGCCCCATCATCTGCATGCGAATAAACAGTGTTTTCAGCCGCGATCATGTGCAACCGCACGGGCAGGGCGGTATTGCGGTGGGAAACCGCACAATCTGCCTGGCACGACTGGGGTGCCATTAGAAAATAATGTCACGGAATCGCACACCACCGCCGATTTCGCTGGCAGTGCCATTATTTTCTATTGGCACTCCATTCGCGCCAGGCAGATTGCGCGGTCTCCCGCCGCAATACCGCCTGGGCGGTCCCACACGATCATGGTTGAAAACATGAATAGTTTAAATGTTTTAGGTTGTTCTAAAACAGTCTTTAATTAAAGTTCTTCATAATCATAAACAAATTGGCCTAAAATAATTAATCTATTGTTTTTTTTTTAAATGTCACCTGTCCCTTTAAGAAAAAGTATCGGTAATTGGTATCGTCAACATGAGGGGAAGTACTTGTACTTGGTCTTAAAAAAGCGGTATCGGGACATCCCTAGTTAAGGCCATCCTTGATACAGACCGAGTTTTATAAGTACATTCAGAATCACTTACCCAACAACTATTCTTAAGGCAGCTGATTTCAGATAAGGGGCAGGACTTGACATACAGTATATTTCAACAGCTCCCTTTGCATTGGAAACTATTAAGAGCCCAACTCCAAACCATTTTGTGTATTATTGTCTGGAAAGGAAATGATGGATGATATCTAACTGAACAATGCGTTATAAAAGCACATTTAATTCGTATGCGGAAGGGTTAGAATCTCTAAGTGTTGTTATTGCTGTCCTTACCTTCCAGTTCTGCTGTCATCTCTCTCCTGTTGGCACAGGACAGGAAGTGAGGAAACATATTTAAGGACACAGCCGGTGATGTATCGAAAGTGCGAACTTATCGAGTTGTGGGACCACATGACTTCCGGTTTCCTCAGAACTACGATGGTTGCACACAAAACATGTTGTGCACGAGCAGCATCCACGGCATTGCCCTATAAACACAGACCACAGTAATAAAATGATGTAGGATGACAGTAAGGCAGCACGTTATTTATCTCAGGTGCCACACTCAATATGGCCGCCGCTTGAGTGGGGCACCTAAGATAAAGAACGTGCTGGCTTACTGTCACCCTAGATCATTTTATTACTTTATTACTGTGGTCTATGTGTATAGGGCAATGCCATGGATGCCGCTCGTGCACAACATGTTTTGTGTGCAAACCTCGTAGTTCTGAGGAAACCGGAAGTCATGTGGTCCCACAACTCGATAAGTTCGCACTTTCGATCGATCACCGGCAGGAAATAGTTGCCCATACCTCTACACAGAATTAGGTAACCATAGGTTGTGAACTCAATTCTTTTGGTGGTATAAAAGTATATTATAAGTATGTGTGTGGGGGTAATCTGTCTTTGAAAGTAATACGCTGATAATTTTAGCCATTTCCCACTCTATCCAAGCCAAAATGTGTTTTTTTTTGCGTTTGGGTAGAGTAGTGAATGCTTGCAACTCCATCTTTGTTTTCCTTCCTTTGTCCCATTGCATTAGGAGATTTCTTGTAATTTCCTATTCCAGACAGGAAGGAAGAGGCAATCTCTCAATTCCCTATGAAAGATTTCCCCTCACCCCTTAAAAAGGAGAACTATGAGGTTAAGTCTTTTCCCCATAGTTCTCCTTAGGGTAATGGGAGGACACAAACTAGCGTCCTCCCATCACCCTAAGCTCAGTATACCACGGGCTGTAGCTCACGGTATACTGAGACGCCACAGTATACCGCGAGCTACTGCTCGAGGTATACTAAGAATCCGCAGCTGACGCGGATCCCGACAACTATGTCTGGATCCGCCCAGCTGCGTGACTGACAGCTGGCTCTGCCTATCTAGAGGCAGAGCTAGCTGTAGCCACCCCTGTCCATTCCGCCAGTCAGCGCTGGCGGATCGGAGAGAATACAGCCCCTCCCGTCACAGCAGAGAGCCGTGAAAGGATCGAGAGGTGAGTGAACGCCGGTATGTGTTCACTCACTTCCCGATCTACTGAGCCGACCTGTGACAGTTTCATTATCGCAGGTCGGCTAGAACTATGAGGTGAGTGAAAAGCACTCACCTCATAGTTCTCCTTTAACAGCAAGGGGAGAGGGTGAGACTCCTTCCCCAGCAAGGGCACAAAGAGCAGTAATAACTTTACAGATGCTCATATTTTATTTCCAAACTTAAAAATGGCAGCATTATGCCCTAAATCTGTACCTTAACCTCTAATGTACAATAAATGCTTAAAGTATGTGCAGGATTTGTCACCTTGATCCTGGGTCCTGCTTGGTCCTTGGGAGTATCAGGTCCTGCAAATACAGTTTCATCTGCTTGCTACATTCCTGGTGTGCTGCAATGCAATCCATAGGGGTTCTAAACCTTCATAAGTTCATGCAAAAATAAAACCAAAAACCGATATATGTATTCATTTATTTTAGGGATGTTCAGATACCAGTGTCGATACTTGGCATTTTCACGAAAACTACTGCGGTTGCAGCTGGGACCTGGCTCTAGTACTCCACCACTGTCCTGAAATCATTTGTCTGTATTGTTGTGTTAGGAAAAACGGTCACAACACCAAACACAAATGTATCAGCAATTGTATGCATCAGTACTTGGAAAAATGGTATTGGTGCATCCCTTATATAATTTATAGAAGGGGGGGGGGGGGGGGAGAGAAACGCACATTAAAACAGAGATGTACAAATCCCAGGTGCTCCATATGCTCCTTAAAAATGACAGCTGCCTAGTCTGGTCCTGGAGCTGGAAAACTATCCGTATCGAGTATGATACTTGGTATCTGAACATCCCTAAAATAAATCTCTCTCTCTCTCTCTCTACAGTTTTTGGAGGACACATTGGTTTACTCTAGACTTCTGTACGTTTCATGTACACCTTATATTCTTTTTCTTGACATAGGAGAGAGTGCTTAGCACTACTCATAATCTAAACAAATTATAGAATTTTTACCAATCCAAAGTCTGTGCGTCCTATTAACAATTGTACTGCTAGGGAGATCATACGAGGCCAATTTTTTTTTACTTAAACAGTAACTTGTCATTCTCAACATACAGAATTTGCCATTGTTAACTTGGTTTTGAAGGTTCCAAAGTGATCTCTGCCTCATAACTAGTGAGCCAATCACCGGAAGAAGCATGGGATGTTGCACATCAATGGCACATTAGGTAGTGAAGCACATATGGCCATTACCAATAGCTCCACCTTGACAGGTACCCTTTTATATTACTTTCCCTTTACCTTGTAATGTTAAAAGACAAGATTTAAACTTTTCGTAAGATACATAAATAACGCTCACAGGCCTCTATGTGCCTGTTATATGTACACAGCTTTGATTTTATTTTTTGTCTGTTTGCAACCAACTTACCTAATTAGTGTGTCATAGACAAGCAGATCTGAACCAGGAGGGGAAAAAAGCCATTGAATGAATCAAAAGCAGCTTAACTGCTCTGCTCCTGTGTAAGCTGTGCAGTCTTTAACCATGATGCAAAACAAGGTTGGGACAAATGCCTAGTTTGTTAGGGAATTTATCTGCATGAGATGTAGACCTTGGATCCCTATAATACTATGCTTCTTAAATTAGGGCAGCTGAACTACAGGAAGAGGTGCCGGTATTTTTGATAATAGCGATCATCAGCAGCTTGTGAGCCGCTGATGACAGCTATTAATTTGAAGGGGAACAGCTAAAGCGACCATGAGCTTATAGCAGAACTGTAAATGCCAGGTCCGTACGGCTTACTGACTTAGCCAACCGGGAACACTTTTGTTCCGCCGTATGCCATAAGTCCTTGGCAGGGAAAGGGTTAAAAGTATTTTAATTTCAAATAGTGTAGGTACCTTAATTTGGCTTGGCATTCCCCCCTTGCAAATCCCTGCACCTCAGCAGTCAGACTAGGAGAAGGGGCAGCTCTAGGAGCCAATCAGGGTTGCAGCATTCAAATGTGCAGATGGAGTAAGAAAGCTGGGGATGGGGTAGGCGGAATGTTATCACTGTATTCCTTAAAAGGAGAACTATGGGGTTAAGGCTTTTCCCCATAGTTCTCCTTGGGGTAACGGGAGGACACAAACTAGCATCCTCCCATCACCCTAAGCTCAGTATACTGCGAGCTACAGCACGCGGTATACTGAGACGCTGAAGCAGATCCCAACAATTGTCTGGATTCGCCCAGCTGCGTGAGTGACAACTAGCTCTGCCTATCCAGAGGCAGAGCCAGCTGTACCCACCCCCTCCCCCATCCGTTCCGCCAGTCAGCGCTGGTGGATCGGGGAGAGGGGAATCCAGCCCCTCCCGTCACGGCAGAAAGCCGTGACAGGATCGAGAGGTGAGCGAGCGCCGGTATGTGTTCGCTCACCTCCCGATCTACAGTTTCATTGTCGCAGGTCGGCTAGAACTATGAGGTGAGTGAAAAGCACTCACCTCATAGTTCTCCTTTAACTGTAACAAATAAAGTGATGTCACTCTTTGGGATGCGTTGTGTGCCAAGCATGCAGTCTAAATGGACAGAAATGCAAATCATTTGGCAGATTTAAATAGTGTGAGAGTAATACAATTTCACATCTCTCATTCATTTTTCAAATAATAAATAAAGCAAGGACACAATTAAAACTCCAGACAAGGGCCTAGGGATGAGGCTTGTACGCCACAACTGTGACAGCAAGGCAGGAGCGGAGTCAATATGAACACAATTGCACTCATGAACAGAGGAAAGGCAATACTCAGAATTCAAGAATTTTCATATTACGCCAAACCGTTGACATTTTACTATAAAATAAACCTAGAAGACAAAATGAAACAAAATAATAAACTTCCAGAAATTTCTAAATAATTCAGGTTTTGGCAACTGTGATTGTAGTAAAGTGGCCAAACACTTAGAGGGGGGGAAAATGGCCACCTTAAAAAAAAGGTGCTTGTTTCAAGATGAGGTACGATTTTAATTTAATTACATACTTCACAGCACATATCTCTTCTGATTGGCCAGACGCACAGCGATGGGAGGGATCACTCAGAGTCCAGAGAACAGAAACAACATACGGTGTCCGCTTCTGGGGCAGACAAGTATAGAAACCAAGTACAATAATCGTTCTCATCTTAGTACTGCACAAAATGGATGCCTGTCACATGAACGATTATGTAAGAATTTCAGAACCAGAGGCCAACAATGGCTGCAAATCAATGAATTCTGAAAAATTCACATAAAAAAACAAAACTAAAAACACAAAACAAAAAAAACGTTAAAGGGAAGCAGAGATCTCTCCTTAAAACTCATGATACTGCATTTTACAATGACTATCTTGTAACATTCTAAACCAGCCTGTAATGGAACCACAAAGCCAGGTCCAAAGAGCTGGTGATCTGCGAGAGATGGTTCGCAATACAGCTGGTTGCAACAATACAAGATGGAGGTGGTTGTGTCAAAGAGAGGAGGGAGAGATGTTGGAAAAGGACTCTGCTTTCATTCAGAATATCCTACAAGACTCCAGGTGTCGTTAACACTACCACTCTTTTTTCTTTTCGTCCATGGACACCCCACCAGGCCCCAGGGCCACCACCAATAGCAGTCCTCCGATAACCGACAAGGTCTGAAAGAAGTCGTATTTTAGGAAGTCATGCATGGGCTTGTAGGCAGGGACGTTCCAGAAGGCGTTAAAGTAGACGTTGATGGCGAAGAGCCACACTACCAAGGTCAGGGCAGCCAGCTTTGTCTTGAAGCCAATGGCCACCAGGATGATGAGAGCCGTACCGACAATGTTCTGTAGGATCTGGAGGGTGAAACATTTGGTTAAATGTGAAGTCAAATGTTCCTTATTAGACATAACTAGGCCACAGACCAGATTCCTTCATGATGCAATGGAATATCCATCCTATCTAAATTAAAACATGAGTTGATTAACTGATAACTCTGTTTCCAGGAATCTTCCAGGACAGCCATCGAGATATAGGCTCCGCCTGCCTGCAACAGGAAACACATCAACCACATTAAATAAATAGACTCCTCCTTCCATCCCAAGTCAGTAACCTCTAGGACCGAAGGCTACCCCATGCACAAAAGTATCCCCTCCTTCATCCAACCTCGGATGCCACAGGACCCGTCAGTAGAAATATGGGTGAGAGAACATGGCAGACAGTTTTTAAACTGTGCAGGGTCTGGGGCTGTCATTCTGATCTACTTTACGAGTCAGATTCAGAAGATGCAAATCTTGAAGTCTCAAAATGTTTTACCTGTCATGCTCTGATACTTTGGAGTTGAGTATAGAGCAGATCAGTTTTGTGGCTTGTTTTCCCCTAAAGTATATGGAAAGATGGTAGTTTACAACACTTACGTAGACGAAGCTTGCGTCGAAGTGGAGCAGAGTCATAAACATTAGGACAAGCAGCACACGACCACCCAGCTGCATATACTGTTTAGGAGAGCTCTCCCCCATGGTTGGCACGCCTGCAAACATGCTTTTCCCTTCCGATCGAGACTCTGCCAGAAGAAGCAGTAACCCTCCACCTAGAGCCAGGTTCCTGGAAAAAGAAAAAAAATCACAATAGTGAGAACAGTGCACAAGATGATCAGTAAAAATGGATTCTGCTACTTCCTCCAACTCTCCTCTCCTGAACTTGCCAATGCTGTTGGGAGACTCTGCTGCTTCCTTTATCCAAATATCCTCTCCTGAAACCCACTGGAGGACTGGAGGACTTCACAGCTTCATCCTACTCTCCTAAAATTCTCTGTGCTGTTGGAGCACTCTGCTTCTTCCACTATTAATCCTCTTTTACAGAAGGTGGTCGGCAAACAGCCCCTACAGTTCTATTGTACAGAGTTACTTTAATACGAACAAGGCCTAGAAGGGGGAAGTATTTTTCAGCACACAGCTTACTTCCCATTTCATAATCCCATAATAGAGAGACCTGCCAACTGTCACAGGAAAGTCTCATTCAGCCAAAAATGGCAGTGAACATGAAACAATGCATCTCATTTTCTGTACTGATGTGGGGACTTCTGCACTCACAGCTGTGAATGCTATACAGTAACTTTTAGTTTTATGCTGATAGGTCCTTTAAATAGTTCCGTGTTTCAGGTTACATGGCGACGTCAACTTTTTTTTTTTTTCAGTTTAGACGTTACACTCCCTTCAAATTGATTGGCCAGAAAACCTATCCCACGCCAGAATACACAAGAACCAGTGTGTGTGTCATGGGGTCAGAGGTTACAGTATTTGGAAAGAGTCATCCATGCAGCTTAAATATCAGTATGAGTTCATCTTTCATTGTGCAGATTTAAGTTAGAAAAATCAGCTATTTTAAAAAGGACATCTCCAGTTGCAACACCAACATATAAAAAATATTTAACCTGCCACAAAGTAGAAAGCGTTCATATTCAGCCAGTGTAAATCCATAAAACCTGTCTATATATTGCAAAGCCTTGCGAGAAATTAAATCAGTCATGCAGTGGGTAAGGCTGCCCCATAAATTGGGAGGGCAAGGACTTAGGCTCTCAAGAGAGCTCTGTGTGGGTGTCACTGTTGGGCTGATGTCACTAGTAATCCAAAAATCGGAAAAACGTCACCTTCTCTATACTCCGCAGTTATAGTACACAAGGAGGGGGGTAACTGTACAACGGAAAAACCATTTCTGTATATATAATATATCCACAAATCTTGCACTTACCTCATGAGAAACTTCAGATCCCATAGGATACTGTATGCAATAGTCTGAAATAAAACAAAGTTACAAATTATGGACTAAAAACACAAACTCCTTTACTCACACAATGGCTGATAGGCTCATACACTTTTGTTGCCATACAAAGCAATGTCAATACTGGGCTGCTTATAAACAAGACAACCCTCCTGTTTACCAACAATGAAAAAAAATATAGATGAGGCATAAAGTAAACAAACAATACACTAACAACTCATCCTTCCTCCCCTTCACTGAGGAGTTCATTTAGCCACAGTACAGTAGAGGTTTTTTTCACACAACTGCAATTCTTTTTATAAATAACTATACAATATAAGAGATGCCATATTCTCACCTGCATTGCTATTATTCCGAATAAGCCAAAGCAGGCGTATTGTACAAAGTTCCGACTAAGGACCAGGATGCAACCACCTGCAAACAATACAAGGCCATCAGCGTAGGTGTCTACATGCGGATACCCCAACATATCACAAAGTTGCAACCTACAAAACACCACCAACAACTATATCATTTAATATTGCTTGCATCATCACATATAATAAAAAGTGTATCTTTAGTTTTGGTGCTTTCAGATGTCTCTAACTTTGTATGTGCCAGCTGCTCCTGTTACATTTACCATAGTATAAAATAGAATTGAATTAGGGATAGTGAAAACTCCTCTTAAAAAGGAGAACTATGGGGTAAGGGCTTTTCCCCAAAGTTCTCCTTAGGGTAACGGGAGGACACAAACTAGCGTTCTCCCGTCACCCTAAGCTACAGCTCGCGGTATACTGAGACGCCGCAGCGGATCCCGACAATTATGTCTGGATCCGCCCAGCTGCGTGAGTGACAGCTGGCTCTGCCTATCTAGAGGCAGAGCCAGCTGTACCCGCCCCCTCCCCCGTCCAATCCGCCAGTCAGCGCTGGCGGTTCGGGGAGGGGGGAATCCAGCCCCTCCCCTGTCACGGCAGAGAGCTGTGACAGGATCTAGAGGTGAGCGAACGCCGGTATGTGTTCGCTCACCTCCCGATCTACTGAGCCGATCTGTGACAGTCTCATTATAACAGGTCGGCTAGAACAAGGTGAGTGAAAAGCACTCGCCTCATAGTTCTCCATTAATGGCCCCAACAAGGGTGCAGGCGGTGGAGTCCCTGATACTCAAGTCCTAAGTGTGCACACATATGTGTCACTATGACCTATAAAGAAGCTCCCACCTCCCAACATCGAAACCTGTGTCCATTTTATGGAGTTCAGATAGCAATGAACAAAACAAGACTCACCCAGTTGTCCCAGCAAGTTAACAAGGACGAAAATGGTGGCCAGGAAGTAGCCACAGCTCCACGTGGCTTCGATGTAATCTCTCTGTTCACTCCACTGAAACCACATGCGGATGCCATCTTCCAGGAATGTGCTGATGAGGCAAAGGCGCGCAACGTGCGGCAAATACTGCTTCGTAACCCGTAAGAACTGCGGACAAGGCAAGAGACAAATTAGGCTTAGTTCAGTGATCTTGTAATGCCACTTAAAATAATGGCTGCCTCTCTCGCAGCCTATTTTTTGCAGGTTCCAGCTGTCCCACACCCTAGTAGAGCAGCTGTCATGCAATACTCCCGTTTAAAAAATTCCATCAGCTTTCTGAAGTCACATCATTTCATAGAGGGGAAAAAAAAAAAGTCCCCATATCTGTTAGGTACACATGCAGATTTAGGCTTTCAACAACAACGTACAGTCATGCCCCTAGTCTTCCTTGCTAGGTGCCTACATGAGATGGGCTGTCCATCAGCATATCGAGAGAAAAAAAAAGGATGTCACCCCATTGAAATCAATGGGGCCTCGCGGCAATCGCAGCCTGCATTGTGCAGGGCCGCGCTACCCCAGATCGCGAAGGTCTGCACCAAGCCTTAACATCCACTTCTAGTTATGCAAACTATACCTAACAGCTCGTGGAAATTACTCCCCAGATTCTTCATCCCCCTTTTGCTGTAATTGTTTCACTGAGGCCCCAAGCCTGTGGGAAGAAGGTAGAATCCTGACTGTTCCACTTCCAGATTGTAAGCTTGTTTTGGGCAGGGTCCTCCTCACCTACTGTTTCTGTATGTCAAGGATGCCCGTCAGTGTTTCTTATTTGTCTTGTCTAAACGATTGTACAGCGCTGCGGAATATGTTGGCGCTATATAAATCATTGTAATTCCAGCTCCATTTTTGGTAAGAAAGGTGCAGGACCACCATGATTGTGGTTAGGACATACACTTTAAACTCTGCTAAACAAGGTCAGTGAGAGCCCTGAAATGTTCTATGTCAAAGTTTACAGAATAAAAGCAGGCGAGAATCGGCACTATCCTTCTAGTGTGCAACCCTGACCAGATGGAGGTTTGTTTTCTCCTCAAAGCTAGAGGACAGAGAAAAACAAAAGGTAACATGCTTTGCCTTTTCAGGACCTCGAGGGCATTACCACGCTGCAACCGTGCAAATCCGTCCCTACGACATCCCCTCTTTCAAGAAAGGAGGACCGCAGCAAAAACGTATCTATAGACTCTCAGGGAGAGCTTGGTAATGCAACTCCAAATTACAGTAATATTCTGGCTACAAATGTGGGCGCCTGTGACCAGTGTTTATGAGCAGCTTATGACCAGGATCACTGCATCTAAACCTGGCATGCAGAGACATCACAAATCATCTCTGGGTGTGTCTGAGGTGATCCCCGATTATCTGTACATTGCACTGTGCTAAAAACACCGATAATTGAAACTCTCCAACATTGCTGAATTGTTTCACTAGGTGCTAAATGCTTGAACTGAACACCAGTGTAAACAAAGCCTGAGGAATACAACTTTTTTTCCACCCAAATTGAACGGTATTATGCAATGCTAGGGGATTAAACAAGGGCCTGAATGGGTACATGTATGCCCCTAGTGTTCCAGAGTCACAGCACAAACTCCCATTACACAAACTATCTTCGTGGCCTCTCTAGGGTCACGGCTGCAGCTATTTTCATCGGCGGTGTGTGTTGTGTATTTGAAGTACAGGACGGATCACACACAGCATGCGGCACACTAATACTTAGCACTATGGAGGACACCGAGTAACTAACCGACGCAGCCTGCAAGAGAAAGAGGGTGGGTGTAAGTTTTCAGCTGAAGAACTATAGGAAAATGATGCAAAACGTGTGCCGACATCTCTTATAAAAGTCTGATCTACACAAATCCTTCTCACGGTTTTGCTCTCTGAATACAACCCAAAAAAACTTTCATCTCCAGCCCAAACATTTTTCTTGTTTTGGATGGACTATGGAAGGGTTAGAGCCCCTTTAAGGTGTATTATTGCTGTACTACCATTGAAGATATAACCAATGTCCACCATTTGTCCTGAGAAGGTGACGAGGAATTCAAAATAAGAACAAGAGTAGAGGAGAAATCATCCAACAGGGACACTTCTTCCAGTGACTAAATACATCATTGGTATTTCCCTTCACTTCTGGGGAGATTTCTAATTACTTCCTGTTGTGTCTCTCTAGACAGATGTACAGGAAATTCGAAGAATGTCACCAGCACACCAATTTCCTTACAGCAAATGAATAGCCATTTATTGGCGTGTGCTGTCTCTTGTTTTCAAGCACTTTCGGGGCCGCGCAAGGTCCCCTTCATTGTGCTCAGTCATCTGTGAACCTGATGAGGGGACCCTACGCAGCCCCGAAAGCGCGTGCAAAACGAGAGACAGCACACGTCAATAAATGGCTATTCATTTGCTGTAAGGAAATTGGTGTGCTGTTGACATTCTTCAAATATCTACATGCTGGCGGCGCCATCCGCAGTCACTTCAAGCACCCACCTGTATATCTGCATGGGAATTCGGGTGAGGAGTGTAGCAAGGAACTTCTTCTCTATTCAGATGTACTCTCCGCCCCATAGGGACATAGGCACCAATAAAAACAGGGAATCCAACCCTTTCCTGCTACATACACAGAAAGCAAGGACAGGGAAGAGTCATCATTTATTCCCATGTCTCCACTAGAAAAATGTCACCATCACATCGCAAACCATCGACAGCGAGCCAGAGTGACAGAAAGCAAGAGGGAATCTCGCCGACGGAACAGTGACAACAATACTTTTTATAAGAGTAGTTTTTATTGCCGTGTCTCCATTGGGTTGATGTCCACTACATCCTAAAGGCACTGGAACTTGTGTGTATATATCACCCACAGCTACCTTGGGAAATGTCCTATTGCAGAAATAGGAAGTGAGGCCAAATCTCTCCCACAAGAACGTCTTCCTACTGGAAGATTTGCCTTGAATACGGTTATGGAGACTCCATCAGTATATAGCTTGCTGTTTGTGTCCCATTCAGTTCCTTTTCGAGAGACAACAGGAAATTAGAGGAAAGGGAAAGAAATTCCCCTCTCAGCCAGGTGTTACTGAAACAGATGTTCCCGATGTAAGATTTACCCTCACAGCTTGTTCTGGTGACAACTTCAAATTTAGGTTTCCCATCACTTTCAGTCTCAGTGACTGTGGTCACCAGGACAAACAAAAAAAAGACGAGTGAATCTCCCCAATGGTAACACTGACGGCTACACTTTAGTTTTTAAATACAAATTCCTACATACGTAATTCCAAGTGTGTATTTTGCCGTTTGCCCACACACTAACCCCACTCTGTATACAAAAAAGGGGCCCAACTGATGCTTTTTCTTCCCCTCTTTACCAATAGAGCAGAAACATTCAACAATCAAATGAACTGATTTCTGTGTAAAATCAAGAAAGAACAGCTTTCCTTCGCTCATTAGTGCCCCGTAAAGACACAGTGAGTCAACCCGTTTCCAGGAAACCGCCATAGAGAACATCTGCCGACAGCACAGATAAAAAAAAATATATTTAGTGATAAGGCAATTAACCCTTACACAGACGCTCAATGCCGAATCTCTCAAAGTCTCTGCCCGTCAGAAAAGGACCCAACGTAGCCAAACTACAGATGGAGAACTACATGTGCCAGCACAACCTGGCATGCAGAGACATCACAAATCGTCTCCTGGTGTGCCTGAGTGAAATAAGCTGCAGGACTGAGATAAAGAAAAGATTCATTAAAAAAAAAAGAAAAAAGTGTACATGTAGCAAATATTTGTTTTGACAAATTCATTGGGGGGAATTTATCAAAACTGGAGCGGAGAAAAACTGGAGCGGAGAAAAACTGGAGCGGAGAAAAACTGGAGCGGAGAAAAACTGGAGCGGAGAAAAACTGGAGCGGAGAAAAACTGGAGCGGAGAAAAACTGGAGCGGAGAAAAACTGGAGCGGAGAAAAACTGGAGCGGAGAAAAACTGGAGCGGAGAAAAACTGGAGCGGAGAAAAACTGGAGCGGAGAAAAACTGGAGCGGAGAAAAACTGGAGCGGAGAAAAACTGGAGCGGAGAAAAACTGGAGCGGAGAAAAACTGGAGCGGAGAAAAACTGGAGCGGAGAAAAACTGGAGCGGAGAAAAACTGGAGCGGAGAAAAACTGGAGCGGAGAAAAACTGGAGCGGAGAAAAACTGGAGCGGAGAAAAACTGGAGCGGAGAAAAACTGGAGCGGAGAAAAACTGGAGCGGAGAAAAACTGGAGCGGAGAAAAACTGGAGCGGAGAAAAACTGGAGCGGAGAAAAACTGGAGCGGAGAAAAACTGGAGCGGAGAAAAACCCCTCCCCCACTGTGTGCGAACAAGATTGTCTAAATCAGCTGACAATCACACGATAGCATGATTCTCTGCAGACTGGGGGAAATGGCATGCACATGTACCAGTGCACCGGAAAGTTTCCAATTTGCACACATGCACCACAAATCGACTTTGTTTGTCTATTTATTGAACACCCTGCTCATAAATAAACTGAAAACAAGGTTAATGGCAATCTGTGGTTTACCAATGCTTATAGTTGGCTCCCCTTCAATGCTGCATTGGGATATGGAGAGCCAGAAGCGTCTGCCCCATGTAAGCTCCAAGAGCCTAAAGAAAAGGTGACTACATACAGCTGAGGGATCAATCGGATAATACATTGAAAACATGCAAATTCCTTTTATTAACAAAAAACAGCCCACAGCTAAAGACTGTAATTAATGCATATGTTCTCCTTCAGGTCCTAGTCTGCTGATTGACAGCCGGCAGGTGCGATAGCCAGCCTGCTATTGGTCATTGCAATTTAAAATATCCAATAGTAGGCTGGCTATTGTTTCCAGCCACTGATGGGAGACTTGACGCTGGTGTTCCATCAATCCCTCGGACTCAAATTGGAGGGATTGATAGAACACAGGCAGAAGAGGGGGCACAGAGGAGCAGAGAAGGAAACTGGGCGGGCAGAGGAGGAGGAATGGGGCGCTCGTGCCGGCTGCAGGGGTCTGTGTCCCTGCTGCCTCTGCTGATACAGGCGGGGAGAGCAGTGGGGATTGTAAGGGACACAGACCGTTGCAGCCAGCACCAGTGGGTTTGGAGCAGAGGGGGATTCAACTAATCGAAAATCAGCTAATTGATCATGAGAATCATTGACGATTCTCATTATCGATTATAATTGATTTTATTGATTAGTTGTTTCAGCCCTAGGTCACAAGATGGGCTGCACAGGAGATCGAGCACAATGCTGTGCTCCATCTTCTGTATTGGAGGGCTGGCTCCATAAAGAGAACCTGTCACCTCCACGCTTGTTAGCCCCTATGCGATAGCAATACATTTAATTTAAAAAAAAAAAGAAAAAAAAAGTGATAAAGTAACAAATAAAAATTTAAAAAGTACAAAAATAAAAATAAAGTATAAATATAAAAAAATCAAAAAGATGAGTAAAATGTAAAACAAAATTAAAACCAATCCTGCCCCGCCCCTACAATCTGCATGGTAATAAACGCACATGTATGGCATTGTGTGCATGTGCGCTGCCCCCATTTCACTGTCTGCCATATTGTGGTAGCCGTGTTAGCGCTCTCTAAGACGCACAATGTACATTAAAGGGCAAGTTCACTTTCCAAAGTGATTTAGGAAAATGGAATCACCCACTCAAATTTGTCCCCACCCCCCCTATACATACCTTTCAGCAAATAAGCTATACTTACCTTTCAGCAAACGGCCCTTCACGTCCGACGACACAGGAGTACTATCTGTACCCCGTACTGTCATCCAGCATAGTCCTATGCTATGTGATTTTTCTTGCAAATGTGAGCACTTGTTGGTCAGACGCTTCTTAGCACGGTTAAATACGGTTTTGGTTACAATCATTTTTTTTAATCTAGAGAAGTAGGTTGTCAAGAGGGACAAATAGATTGGTCCCCCGCTTTAGTCCTTGGACAAGTTTTTTTTGTTTTATTATTGTAATTTCCACACCCCTATATATGCATTTTTGGAAAGATTGATAGCTAGTGCACATACACACGTGTGTATAGATAGATAGCTATGGCGCATATAAACACGTGTGTAGATGGCTAGGTATAGCACATACACACGTGTGTATAGATAGATAGCTATGGCGCATATAAACACGTGTGTAGATGGCTAGGTATAGCACATACACACGTGTGTATAGATAGATAGCTATGGCGCATATAAACACGTGTGTAGATGGCTAGGTATAGCACATACACATGTGGAAAGGAAACAAATCAAAAAGGGAAATAAGACGACCGTCATTGCTGAGCGCCAACCATTGCCTGGCCGTCATGTTACGTTCCAATTGCATAACTGATCCAGGTCAGCGACTCAGAATGTATTAAAGGCAGTGGACCAGCATGACCTTTTCCTTTTGGATTTGTACAGTCTGGTACATAGAACAAGCCCCGGCTGGCATTTAGCACTCACATGAGGGTGACCCATTCCGGGGCTTAGCAGCGTATCCTATACTTTTGCAAAGCGAGAAAGTGTTCGGCTGCTACAACCTTATGTATAAGAGGTGTTGGCCTATGATGGAATCTCAACATCTCTGGTAGCGTCGAATACAGAAGGAGCTGTAGTGCATACAACTGCACATCAACACGCACAGGCAAGTTAGGGCTACCCCACCCCAAGGGGAAAACACTATATCTCCTACTATCACTGGATGTCACAACTGCTACTATCTGCAGAATAGATCAGCGCCCAGTCACTATACTACCAGTTCCTGAACAACTTTACCTTCTCTAACCCAGGGGTAAGCAACCTTGGCACTCAAATCCTATCATGCCCCTGCCACCCGAAGTCGTGCTTGTGGCTATCTTGCAATGCCCCATGGGAACTGCAGTTCAACAAAAGCTGGTGTGCCCTTCCTTCTATACCTTCAACTAACCCTTCCTAATGTGTGCCCATCTCTCTATAACCTAACCCAGCCACTCATGTGTACCCATCCCTCTCTAACCCCAACCCAACCATCCCCATATGCAGGGCTTGAAAAATCCGCTTGTCCGTGATGAGAGGACGCCGGAGCCGGACGAGTAGCTTCCGGGAGCTTTACATTCAAGCAATCGGGCGTCTCTAGAGACGCCCGATCGCTTGTATTAGCAGCTGTCACTGCCGTTACCGGTCCCGAGATCCGCTGTGCCCAGGACTGGCAAGGCTGCTCTGCGACAGGAGGTCAATACACGATCTCCCTCTGATCTCCTCTCTCCCAATACAGGAAGTGATGTATATTACATCACTTCCACATTCTGCTGTCATTCCCAGCTTCAGAAGCTGGGGAGAAGCTGGTGAAGCCGCTCTGCTTCATCAGCTTCTCTGGGGGTCCCTAGGTGACATTAGGGGTCTTGGAGACCCTTGATGTCTCCATAAAGAGGACCTGTCATGTAAATTGGTTACCACATAGGGGGCTTCTTAGCCCCCATGTGATAGCAATAAAGTAAAAAAAAAAAAAAGTAATTTTTTTTTTTTTAAAGTCCCCAGCCCCCCACATGCACGCGCAAACACGTGTCAGTTGTGCCTATGTGCAAAAAGGACGATTGCGCCGCACATGTTAAATCACTGCAAACGTCGTAGTGTGAGCAAAAATCTTAGGCCTATTAAAAAAGGAGAACTATGAGGTGAGTAAAACTCACTTAGCCTCATAGTTCGAGCCGACATGCGACAATTAAACTGTCACACGTCGGCTCGATAGAGCGGGAAGGGAGCGAACGCATACAGTCGCTCGCTTCTCGATCCTGTCCCTGCAGAGAGCCGTGACTGTCACTCACGGCTCCAGTACACTGTACAAACTACATGTGAAGGCCAACAAAATGGACTGTGGGGCCCCATGTATAGATTAGATGCGTGTTGGGCCAGGGAAGCTTGTGGGGGTACCCAGCGTACAGATAACATACGAGAGGGCCCAGCATAATAACTGCATGTGTGATGGGCCAGTAAAGCTACTGGGGGGGCCACTAGCGTACAGATAACATTTGAGAGGGCCAAGGGAATAGACTAGGGGGGGCCCCATTGTACAATCTACAAGGGCCCAACGTACAGATTACATGTGTGATGGGCCAGTAAAAGCTACTGCGGGGCCCCTAGTGTACAGATAACATGTGTGAGGGCCCAGGGAATATCCCAACGGCCATCTCCGGTAATGGATTCTGGGAGCCCCTGGTGCACAGAGAAAGCCCATAAACATGGCACGTATTCGGGGCCCAATTACATATGTGTGTCCAGGGAACGGAACCCAGGGGCCCCGACAGTGGAAAGAGGAGCCCACCCTCAGCAGCTCAAGTGAGGACTATCGGTGCCCCCGGGGGCATATAAAGGAGAGCCGGAGACACGTGGGAGTAGGTGCAGAAAGTACCGGGGCCACGGGCCCTTCTATCTTACCTGGTCGGCGAAGTCCTCGGCAGCACCCATCATGTCGTTCTGTCCCATGATGAGAGATGAGTGGCGGCCGAGCCCCGCCCCCTCCCGCACAGCGGCCCGTTCCACCGCCTGCCACGTATCAGACCAACCGTGGGCGGGGCCTGGGAGGAGAGGGGGCGAGGAAGGAGGAAGAGGGGCGTGCCAGAATTAGGAGGATTGATGGATGCAATGTGTATAGGAAATAAGGAGGCGTACACCGAGGGGAGGGGAAACTACTCAAAGGAGGGAGGATATACAGAGGGGAAGACACTGTGCTTAGGAGAGTATGGAGGGGAGGAGAGGTGTACACTGAGGGAAATTCATCAAAACTGGAGCAGACAAAGTCTGGAGCAGTCGCCCATGGCAACCAATCAGCTTTTCTCTTCAGTTTCTTCAGTTAAGATTTGAAAAAGAAAGAGAGAAGCTGATTGGTTGCTGCACATAGCTGGGAGGGGGCATACATTGATGATCTGAGGTATATACTGTATATAGGAGAGGAGGGGGCATACACTGAGGATATGAGGTATATACTGTATATAGGGGATGAGAGGGCATACAGTGAGGGTTGGGAGTATATACTGTATATAGGAGAGGAGGGGGCATTCACTGAGGATCTGAGGTATATACTGTATATAGGAGAGGAGGGGGCATTCACTGAGGATCTGAGGTATATACTGTATATAGAAGGGGAGGGGGCATTCACTGAGGATCTGAGGTATATACTGTATATAGGAGAGGAGGGGGCATTCACTGAGGATCTGAGGTATATACTGTATATAGGAGAGGAGGGGGCATTCACTGAGGATCTGAGGTATATACTGTATATAGGAGAGGAGGGGGCATTCACTGAGGATCTGAGGTATATACTGTATATAGGAGGGGAGGTGGCATACACTGAGGGTTGGGGGTATATACTGTATATATGAGGGGAGGGGGCATTCACTGAGGATCTGAGGTATATACTGTATATAGGAGGGGAGGTGGCGCGCACTAAGAGAGAGAGCACCCCCCTGAAATGATGGCAGATAGCACAGGAAGCAATAGCTTCTTTGCTATCTGCAGGTTTGTTTGTTTAAAAAAAAAAACAAAAAAAAAAAACCCAGCATAGGAATACATAGCTAGATTGCTATTGGCTATTTCAATTTGCAATATCCAATAGCAAGCTGGCTACTGCACCCGCCCTCTGTTGCTGTCAATCACTAGAAGAGGACCTGATGTAGAACTTCAGGTCCCCCTCTGCTGATTGACAGCAGCAGTGGGCGGGTGCAATAGCTAGTTTGCTATTGGCTATGTTTTTTCCCTTTTTCTGGGCGCTGGCGGCCCCAATGTCCGGGGGAAAATTTTTTATCGCAGGGAAAGGTTTCCTCTGCTCGACCGAGCAGAGGAAACCTTTCCGAGAGAAAATGTTTCTCTTCCAGGCGGCTGGGAGCCGCTATCTAATAGCGGGAGACTCCCGGAGCGTCCGGGAGAGTTGGGATGTCTGCCTCTGCGTCTGAAATTATACACGGAACAATCTGGCTGTGTTATCCTGTCATAAAAGTCTTCTCACTTCTTCTTTAACCCCTTCCTGTGGAAAACAGCTCTACATACCCTTCCCCTTTCTGTCTAAACTTTTACTTCCCAGGTCAGTGACTTGTATGAGAAAGTGAGCCGGCCGCAATATGATCCAGTGCGTTCCGGCCAGAATGGGGTCAGAGCGCACTGTGTCTGGTGTGAATGGGCCTTTAGAGCTCATTCATAGATCAAAGCATACAAAGGAGAAGAATCTCTCCTGTTTGCAATGTCTCACCCATCTCATAAATATGTCTATTATTCGTTCCTCCGCCATTTCACAAATCCTCCTTCTCCGCTGTGCCTCTGCCTCTCATAAATCATTTCTCCTCTGCTTCACGCGCTTTCATAGAACTTCTCTTACTCTCATGTAACCCTCATCTTCCAAATCTTCTGTCTTGTCTCTCTCACCCTCATTCATTTCGCTCTTTGTTGTGCTCCTCCTTCTCCTCCCCAGGCTCACAAATCTTCTCTTATACTAAGCAGCCACACTTCTAAAAGCTCTCTGTGACCAAAATGAATAAATGTTTGACCTGGTGCTCTACTACACATTCATGAACCCATATAACGCTAGAATAATAATTCAGTCGCACATTGCGGCCAAATTCTGTGTTGCGACAGGTTTATTGTGGCAAAATATATAACTACAATGATAAATTCCCTCCATTGAGCTCATCCATGTAATTTGTTACCTGTATTGTAGTTATGTTTTATTGGAATATGGGCAGAAAGTCAGTACTTGTCAGCTAGGACTGAAAATCTGTTCTTATTAGATGTTGTAAGTGGCATACTAGGGCAAAAGGGACGAGAGTAGACCCAAAAGTGTATAGTGGGCCCTGTTTGCTGTGCACCCCCCAACTGAACATAAAGCAGCATTGGAAACCAGCTCAACCTGTAGTCCCATATTGTGCATATAGTGGGAATCGCTGGTGCTCAGGAAAGGATGCGTCCGCCTCAGTAAGCAATGGCTATAACACAAGTTCCTGCACACAGCTTCATGTTCCCGTCCTATATTAAAGTATACATTTTTTCCCCTCCCCCCATTGTTAGTGTAGAGACTTACCTTAAATGATGTCTCTTAGTCCGATCTTCTTCTTTCCTGTGGTTTTCAGGCTTCTCTCCAGCGATTCTGCGGGTCTCCGATCCAGGGCTGACTCATCTGTTCTTTTCAGCCTTCTCTCCAGCGATGCTGCGGGTCTCCGATCCAGCGCTGACTCCTCTGTGCTTGCTGGCACTTCACCTACCACGGTGTCTGCATGCGGGTGCACGCGTCCATAGACTTACCTTGTGTCTCTCCTCGGCAGCGCGCGTTGAAGACACAGGTAAGTTTAAACCTCTTTTAAAGCGTTTTTTGTTTTTCTAAAGTATTTGCATATATCTACTGCTTGGTAGCAGTAGACATATGCAAAAAAAACGGAGGGTTTAATAACCCTTTATATATCAGATAAACAGTTCACATCATAAACCCTATAATGTGTTTCAGTAAACACATGGCCTTAGTCATAGCACATAGCACATAGGGTTTATGATGTGAACTGTTCATCTGATCTTTAATACAAGATCGGACCATGAAGCTGTGTGCCGGAACCTGTGTTATATTCACCCCCAACCGTACACCTAAAGTTAATTGTTGAACATTAACCCTACACTCAGAGGCGTAACTAGAAAGAAACCTCTGGGCCCCGGTGCAAGAAACCATTAATGCCCCCCCCCCAAAAAAAAAACATGATTTGATACCACATTATCTCCTCCAGATGGAGTTGAGATATAACTAAGACTGTTTGTTTTTGTGTCTATTTGCACAGAATGAACGTTCAGAAAGATTTTGCGAAAAGGTAAAAAAAGTACGGTACGCAAAACTGTAAATAAGCGACTTATGTTATTGTAAATGCCAGGTCCGTACGGCATACTGAGTTGGCCAGTCCGGAACACTTTTGTTCCTCCGTATGCCTTACATCCTTGGCAGCGAAAGGGTTAAAGTGACATTATACCCAGGAGGTAAATTTATATAATACATTCAAGTACCTTAAAGGAGATCTATGAGGTGAGTGATTTCCACTCATCCTCATAGTTAGAGCCGACCTGTGACAAAGAAGCTGTCATACGTCGGCTCTATCGATCGGGAAGTGAGCAGGAACATGCCACCGATCTGCTCACGCCTCGATTGTCTTCCTGCAGTAAGCGGTGACTGTCAGTCACGGCCTCCTGCAGGGATTCCCCCTCTCCGATCCTCCAGCACTGAGTGGAGGAATGGACGGGGGAGGTGGCGGGTACAGGTGGCACTGACTCTAGGTAGCCAGAGCCAGCTGTCACTCACGCAGCTGGGTGGATCTCGACAGTAATGTCGGGATCCGTCCCAGCTGTGGCGCTGACAGATATACTGAGCTTTGGGTCACGGGAGGACGCTAGTATATGTCCTCCCGTGACCCTAAAGACAACTCTGGGGAAAAACACGTACCTCATAGTTCTCTTTTAACTATTAACAAAAATGTATCTTATTTGTGTATCATTCGGCTACAGATTATCAAATCATCTCTGAATTGGTACTGACACTGTCCTCACTTCTGGAGTGTGGCTCATTTTTTTCCCCATGGTCCCTGTGTGTGTTGTAAAGTAGTCAGCACTCCAATCTCGCTCCTGTGATGGACTAAAATATCACATTTAATTTACTAATTTATATTGAGATGGTAGTACTACATCACAAGAGTGATCCTGAAGTGGTGGCTCCCTTACAACACTCACAGGGACAATGGGCAGCAAAAGTAGCCACTCTCCAGGCTACATAGCTACACTATGCAATCTGATTGTACAATCTTTAGACCTACCAACAGCTGTGTAGTGCAAGGGCCTGTTTGTTTTTTTCCAATATTATTCCGATTGGATGTGTATGTCCAGCTTTACTCCTCTTGATTCGGCCGCTTGTTTGATCTGAGTTTGAATGCCTGGTCTATGGTATATTGTCCTTTACACTGCTCTCGCTCGCCATCTGCCGGCTGCTCATTTGTATTGTTGTAGCGTCGCTCTCGCTCGCCATCTGCTGGATTTTGTGCTGTATAACAAGGACATTGTGCTGCTCTTGCCTTCCACCTGTCGGCGGCGGCTCTGTATTGCACTTTGATTGCTCTGTTCTTTCTCGCCGCCTACTGGGGGCTCCAATGCAGCTGTATTTCCCGGCATGCCCCGGGCGGGGTTCCGGTGATAGAGGCAAAGAGGGATCCTGTGACAGGCTGCCGCTCTCCTGTCCTTGGACCGCTCCATGTTCGTGCAGGAGGAGAAGATCTTCCCCGGCCGGGTGATCAGACTCCATGTCTGCACCATGGAGGGGGCGGAATGGTTGGAAGACGTGACAGAGGAAATGACACTCGAGAGGCTGAAGGAGCAATGTCTGAGACATGTATGTGACACTGACAGAGGAGGGGGTGATGAGAGTATGTGGCGACGAGGGGAGGAGGAGGGGTGACTGAGACATGTATGTGACACTGAGAGGAGGAGGAGGAGGGGTGACTGAGACATGTATGTGACACTGAGAGGAGGAGGAGAAGGGGTAACTGAGACATGTATGTGACACTGAGAGGAGGAGGAGGGGTGACTGAGACATGTATGTGACCCTGGAGGGGGGAGGAGGCGTGACTGTGACATGTATGTGACACTGAGAGGAGGGGTGACTGTGACATGTATGTGAACCTGGAGGGGGAGGGACTGTGATATGTATGTGACCCTGGAGGGGGAGGATGAGGGACTGTGATATGTATGTGAGCCTGGAGGGGGGACTGCGACATGTATGTGACTCTGGAGGGGGGACTGTGACATGTATGTGACCCTGGAGTGAGAGGAGGGGGGCCTGCGACATGTATGTGACTGGAGGTGGGACTGTGACATGTATGTGACCCTGGAGGGGGGACTGTGACATGTATGTGACCCTAGAGGGGGGACTGTGACATGTATGTGACCCTGGAGGGGGGACTGTGACATGTATGTGACTCTGGAGGGGGGACTGTGGTGACATTTTTGTGACCCTGGAGGGGGAGAAGGTGGGGCTGTGACATGTATGTGACCCTGGAGGGGGGACTGTGACATGTTTGTGACTCGGGAGGAGGACGGACTGTGACATGTATGTGACCCTGGAGGGGGAGGAGGAGGAGGGACTGTGACATGTATGTGACCCTGGAGGGGGAGGAGGTGGGACTGTGACATGTATGTGACCCTGGAGGGGGAGGAGGAGGGACTGTGACATGTATGTGACCCTGGAGGGGGAGGGACTGTGACATGTATGTGACCCTGGAGGGGGAGGAGGGGGGACTGTGACATGTATGTGACCCTGGAGGGGGAGGAGGTGGGACTGTGACATGTAAGTGACCCTGGAGGGGTAGGAGGTGGGACTGTGACATGTATGTGACCCAGGAGGGGGAGGAGGAGGGACTGTGACATGTATGTGACCCTGGAGGGGGAGGAGGGGGGACTGTGACATGTATGTGACCCTGGAGGGGGAGGAGGTGGGACTGTGACATGTATGTGACCCTGGAGGGGGAGGAGGGGGGACTGTGACATGTATGTGACTCGGGAGGTGGGACTGTGACATGTATGTGACCCTGGAGGGGGAGGAGGTGGGACTGTGACATGTATGTGACTCAGGAGGAGGGACTGTGACATGTATGTGACCCTGGAGGGGTGACTGATCAGATATCACTATTTGTATAGTTCTTAGCAGTCTATAAGATTTTCTGGCTCACTGGAGAAAATGAAAGCAAGCATATGATTGGTTGCCAGGGATAGTGCCATCCTGTATACGCAGGCTCAAGAATCCTGCCAGCTGTAATGAATGTCCTCGGCCTCTCCCATGTACAGCGTGCTCCCCCTTCATTTCATCCTTTTATACCTTTATTGTCCTCCTAACACACGGGAACTCATAGGACAAATGAGAACCGGTAATGGCTGATGCTTCCAGCCAACGTCACTTATAACCATTCCAGGGTTTGCCAGGCGGCTTTTCTTATGTTTTACAGGCTCTATACTGTACCGAGCAGAATGAACACACATGGAGGGGGATTTATCAAAGTCTAAAGCAGCTCTGCACGGTAACCAATCAGCATCTCTCTTTCATTTTCAAATCTTACCTGAACAAACTGAAGAGAGAAGCTGATTGGTTGCCCCGGGCAACTGCTCCAGATTCTGTCTGCTCCAGTTTTGCTGAATTTCCCCCATTGTGTTTAAAAAAAATAGACTTAGAAAATGCCATCCATTGCAAATGTATTTATTTATTACAGTTATTTATATAGCGCTGACAATTTACGCAGCGCTTTACATAAGCGCAGTCACATCAGTCCCTGCCCTCAAGGAGCTTACAATCTAAGGTCCCTATCTCACATGCATACATACAGGGACAATGATTTTGGAGAGGAGCCAGTTAACCTTCCAGCATGTCTTTGGGGTGTCTTCCTTTATTGTTTATAAGGGATGAACAATGTGGACATTCCTGGTTCGGTCACTTTATTCTCTGCATTGTCTTTGGAGGTTTTTGTCTGAGTAGAATCATTCTTGGCAGCTGGAGCAAACACAAATGGAACTGGTACTGATGGCACCCAGTCCGACTTTTGGGTTTATTTCCTTTTTTTCCAGGAAGTTACTGTCTGAATACTGACATCAGATTGTTTATTTTCACACACTGTTCTTTTCCATACTTGCACGGATTTTTATCAATCAGGTTGGAGATTTAAAGGAGAATTTTGATGGAGAGTGAAATACCGTATATACTCGAGTATAAGCCGAGATTTTCAGCCCATATTTCCCATAACGTCTTCCAGGACAGCATCACGAGATGGAATCTCCTCCCCCACACACAGGAAACACGAATCCCCATAATTAGAGCCGACGTGTTATACTGAGGCTGTCACACGGTGGCTCTATTGATCGAGGACTGAGTGATCACATACCGCTGAGTTCCTGATCATCTCCCTGCAGAGAGTGCTGACTCTCAGTCACCGCTCCCCGCAGGGACTCTCCCCTTCCCTCTTCGATCCTCCAGCACTCATTGGAGGGACAGAGGGGGGAAGGGGCGGGCACAGCTCTAGAGAAGCAGAGCCAGCTGTCAATCAGATAGTGGGGTGGATCTAGGGCTGCAACAACTAATCGACATAATTGATTATAATCGAATGTATTTTATTTTTTAATGTTTTATCCGATTAACCGATTAATCGAACTTAATAATCGGCTAACTAATCGATTTTGAAAATAATCGTTAGCTGCAGCTCTAGGTGGATCCCAACAATATTGTCAGGATCCATCCCGGCTGCAGCACGGCCCTGCCCTGTCAGCATATAGACGGCAATAGCTCGCTATATGCTGTGTTTTGCGTCACCGAAAGATATTAGTTACTTAGTATTTGAGGTTGAATAAATCCCCTCCTGTGACCCTAAAGAGAACTATGGGCAATAAAAACGTTGGGCCACAGTTCACTTTGAGAATGAAAACCTGCCATTTGTGAGACTTTTATTTTGCCAGATGCAATTGGTGAAGTCGTGTAGCTTCATGCGTGTAGCTTCATGCCGTCCTTGACGTGGTCAGTGTTTCTGTAACCAGCTTTGGCAATGGTGATTTGGCATTTGGTTTTCACTTTCTCGCCTTGAGAGATTCGCAGGCTCTAAATGATCTATGTAGATAACTCTGTGCCCTTGTGGCCTCTTCTGTATTTCTACCAGGGACACACACAAAAATCAGACTGCTCTTGATTGGGCACGGTGTTCTGTTTTGGCCATGCCGGGGAAACCAACGGGTTTAAAATGAAAAAATATTGAATCGGCTACAAAGGCGTTTTAAAAGGAAAACAAGAAGGTCACTTTCACTAGTAAACAAAGAAAAGACGACAACAACGTTTTCTTGCTACATCTCCGACCCTTCCCATCCTATTATTATTTGTTTTCTGAAATTACCAAATAAATACCCCAACCGCCCTCCAGCCAGTTCTCATGCAGGGAAACGAGGCAACATGTTTTGGAAACAGATTTAAAATCACTTTAAAAACTTGGACAGTTGATAAATGTTTTTATTTACATCGTTTATTTATAACGTTTTTCTAACTGTTCCTCAAGTTCATCGGTATAGTTGGTCCTGGCTTTCTCTAATACATACACTGAGTGGCCAGATTATTATGACCACCCCATCAGTACTTTGTTGGGCCACGAGATGACTCCACGAGATGACTTTGTTGGGCTGCCTCGTGACTCCACGAGATGTTGAAAGGTGATGCGAGGAATCTGACACGGCACTGTTGCCCTTCTTTTGTCTTGTACCAGTCTTGGCACTCTCCGTTCTGCCCTAACATTGACCAGTCGCTGACGGCCACAATTCGCACGTTCAGACCCAGATTTTCGTCTGACAGTCCAGTTTTTAAACACTTTAACAACAGCTGCTCTTGAACATTTAACGAATTCTGCTGTTTTGCCGATACTTGCTCCATGGCTGTGAGCGTCAACAAATCATCCCACGTTCAAAGGCTGTTAAAGGAGAACTATGGGGTCAGGGCTTTTCCCCATAGTTCTCCTTAGGGTAACGGGAGGACACAAACTAGCGTCCTCCCGTTACCCTAAGCTCAGTATACCGCGAGCTACAGCTCGCGGTATACTGAGACGCCGGAGCGGATCCCGACATCGATGTCGAGATCCGCCCAGCTGCGTGAGTGACAGATGGCTCTGCCTATCTAGAGGCAGAGCCAGCTTTCCCCGTCCGTTCCGCCAGTCAGCGCTGGCGGGGAGGGGAAATCCAGCCCCTCCCCTGTCACAGCTCTCTGCTCACCTCCCGATCTACTGAGCCGACCTGTGACAGTCTCATTGTCACAGGTCAGGTAGGACTATGAGGTGAGTGGAAATCACTCATCTCATAGTTCTCCTTTAAATCGCGTTGTTTACCCATATCTTCAGAAACAAATCACTTCTACTGTCGTGGTAAACAACCTGCTTCCCTATTTATAATGGTCTGGCCCTCTAGCAACTTCAGCGCGAAATTATAGATAATTATAGCTAATTTGCCTTCAAACGTCATGTGGTCATAATAATCTGGCCACTCAGTGTATAGTTAATGACTTGCAGGATTCTTGCACATATTAGTGTATATTGTAACTCATGTGGGGAACTTCCAATCCTATAAAGCGGTACATCTTCACAAAACAGGATTACTTTCATGCTGGCCTCCATAGCAGCTTATACTCCCCTGCCACTCCGCTCCCCACCAGGAGTGAAGAGAAATACCAGACGGTTCCAGGTATGGGGAGGAAACTTGTGGTTTGCGCCATTTCCTCCCACATAACAATGTGGTGATTTGTTGCTCCGGCTTCATTGCATGATGTAGGGACAAGAGAGAGTCCTCAATTGGAGGGCGGCCCATGTGTGCTCTTGTATCTGAGACACAATTACTGTTTGCTGCCAGTCTTTTACGTGTGCTGGCTATATTGTTATTTTTGCATGGCAGTGTATACCACCTTGTTGTATTTTATCTATGTACATAAAAGCTGATTTGAAAAAAAAAAAAGAGAGAGCGTCCTCAGTCCAGTGTAAGCTCAGGCTAGGTGTTGAGCAGTGGTCAGTTTAGGTTTTTCTTTTAGCTACTTGGAAATATAATGTGACGGTTGAGCAATTGAGATGACTTTGGCTAGATTGGGGAACAGTTGGTAGCAATAGGCATGCTATGTCAGTGGCTGTCTGGCGTATTGGGCCATTATGGGGGTTTTTCCCTTAGTAAGTGCTGAGGTTGTTTGTCCATGTCCTTATAATGTGTCATAGAAGTGTCCCACTACTATTATCCTTCTTGTATTGGAGGAGAAAACTGAAATGACCAGACCCATGTTGGTCTATGGTGAATCAGATGTAAACAGACTTGTATCCGTTTCCATCAGATTACCTCTGATCCGGCACAGTCCGCTCCATCGAAAACAGAACTCTGATCTGTTTGTTTTCCGGACCTGGCCGGAGCCAGGTGTAGCTGGATGTAAACGGATACATGGCCATTTGGATCCGGCTGCCCATAGACTAACATCAGGCTTCCGATCAGGTCCAGCTGATAAACTGACAGAGAGACCTGGTCAGGATGCCCATGTGAAAGGGGCCCTAAGGGCTAGTTCACACCAGATCACATTGCAGCCAGCTCACTGTGTGTTGGGGCAGGAGGGGGCGTGACGGTGCATTGGACACAATGGCACTGCAGCCACGCCCTCCGGCCTCAGTGCGATCGGCCACACGAGAACGTTCTGGTCCGGTCAGAAAAAATGCTGCAAGCACTATTTTTTCTGACTGTACCGGAAAACAGGCATTGATGTGCCACGCGTTCCCGTGCGGCCGGAGGGTGTGGCTGTGGTGCCATTGAGCTCAATGAACCGCCATGCTCCCTTCCGCTCCAACACAAAGTGAGCCGGCCGCAATGTGATCCAGTGCGCTCCGGCCCCAATCGGGCTAGAGCGCACTGTGACTGGTGTGAACTAGCCCTAAGGCAGGCCTGGACAGATCCCAGAAACCAAGTCACCAATGCTCCTTAAATATTACAGCCGGGGTCTAACTTTTGAGGTTTTCTCTAGTTGTTGTCAAAGTTTCCTATGGCCACCAATACGCTCAAACCTACAAATCTAATTGTGATTGGTGATACAGGAGAGATGGAGGAAGGTACAGAGCTCTGGTTTCAGTATTCTCCCAGTAATCCTGTGGTGGCGCTATTTGGGTTTATCTTGGAGTCAATTGCACTGAATTCTATATATAGTCAATTTAGTGACATTTCTTACTTTATCGCAGTTGCAGTGTTTGCTGAGTAGCTTTTAGTATCCTTGTTGCCAGGAATTGTTTTTTAAATCAGACAGTAAGTAGTCTGAGACCATTACTGCTTGGATGTTCACTGCTTTTTCAAGCGTTGCCCAACTTGCCCTTACATACTTACATGCCCCTTCATTTTTCACTTTTTAGTGAAAAATGAAAGGGCATGTAAGTATGTAATCTTGCGCAATGTAAGCGTGCATTTATACGCCGTTTGCCGGTCAAAGTTCGCCAACTTGTGTAACAAAAATCTCGAGTCTCTGCCTCTCCTTTCAGTATCTGGTGTCAGAGTATTGCTGCTGTGCTTTAAGACACCTGAGCCACCTCACTGGACCCAGAGCTTTGCTATGTCTCAGCCTCTGAGATCTCTCTGAACGTGGCGTTTATGCTGACCACACACTAACTTTTCCAAAAATCAATTTCCTTAGATTTGAAATGAAAGTTATTTTTGTGCACTTTTGCCACACAGTTGCAATAAAGAAAATGGTTTGATTATGGTTGCACGGAAGCTACCAACTCCAACCTAACCCCCCCCCCCCCCCCCCCCCCACCCCACAACAACTAGAGCCGGCCGCAATGCAATCCGGTGCATTCCGGCCACACCCCCCCCCCCCCCCCCCCAACATCCGTGAAAATTCTGAGTGTATAATCCCACCACTAGCTAACATAGACATGCAGTGAAACTGAATAGTCACTTCACACTTCAGGCTAGTGTGACACCCGGGACGTGCGTTTCGGGATTGTGCGGTCCTGTACTGCAGACAGAAATTGCTGCACGGCCTCATTGATTTCAGCGGGGTGGCATCCGCACGGCAATCACAGAAAAGAGGTACATGTACCTTTTCTTGGGGGGCGATACACGGCACGCGGCTGTTTAGCCGTGCACGATTGCCGCGCGATAAGGTGTCGCCTAGGTGTGAACCTAACCTAACAAATCGGCTTCGATTATTTTTCATATTTATCATTCATTGCTTTCACACAACCCGGTACAGTTCTTGATGAGATCTTAGATGACCCTTTAAGTCACTCTGTTAGATACATACATACAAAAATCCAACTGAAGCTTCCCTGCAAAAGAAGAACATTTATACTCGCCTCTCTTGTGGTCTGTGTGGCCTGCCTTCATTATATTCCAGTGTTGGACTGTAGGACCCCTCAGCATTTAAACCTTTTGAGGGTGTTGTCCCCTGCTATGCACTGTGCTTTCATCCCGCAACACCTATTTTACTGCTGGTCCTGTAGTGATGAATGGGGGTCAGAAGATGGAACCACAGCATGCAGCAGGGGGATGCTGGCACCTGACACTCCTGGAAGCATCAGATGGAGACTGTAGTGGTAAAGAATAATACTTATTATATTTAAGGAAAGCTCCAGTTGGACTTTTGTATGCAAACCACGGGGTCTAAGGCCTCGTGCATACTATGTACGAAAACGTTGAGTTCAGGTGCATTTGGAGCCCATTTCTGAAACGCACCTGGACTCATGTAATGCTTTTCTATGACTGAATGCACACCTAGGCGACCAGGAGCATTTAGGTACATTCAGTCTAGGTCAGTTTACCCAAAATAGTAATTTCTGTGTTCCGGGTCCGACCAGCCCAGTTTTATGCGGCTAAACGCGCGTGAACATGACTAAGCCCAGCACAGAAAAAAGTGATCTGGTGAGTACAAACAACTTTATGCTTCCCAGATCACTTTTTTCTGTGCTGGGCTTAGTCGCGTTTACTCTTTTGTTGGGCTTAAACGCAGCCTGCTCGTGTGCATGAGGCATAAAACATTGTCCTTTATATCAAAATAAATTTTGTTGCTGTTTTGTAATGCCTTTAAATCCACAGTATCCGCCCCAAATTTTGATCGCACACTCTTTTCAGTGGCCTCAAACCACAACCTCCGTCAGTCTGCAGGAGCTCTACAAACTTATACAAAGTCATTTTCAGATGCCCTAGCATGGGAACATCATGTGATGATGCAGTATTTGTATGAGTTGTAGCATTGCTGTGATGATAGTCCCTTTTCAATGCTGACATTCCCAGGACTGGTGGGTAAAACCGAGAGTATCCTGGGAGCAGTACTTAGGGGCTGACATCATTGTTTGGCACTCACAGAAGATATTTGTGTTACAGAATATTCTACTGTAATGTATGAGACCTCAGGGGAATTAAAGAGAGGAACTGCAGTGAGTGCAAATATAACCACTGAGGGCTCTTACCAGAGCGCAGTCATCTTTTCTCACATTTACATTTACGAATGAATTATTATACAACACACACACACCTCCTCTGTCTGTGGTTCAGCTTTCTGCCCTTATCTTAACATATATATGAGGTTTTCTACCTTGAAACTGAAGAGAAAAAAGGGGTTTACATAACCATGCTTGATTCTTTTTCTTGCCATGCACCAGCTAATAGGAGTCCGGTTTAGCCATCACATTACTGCAGTAATGTCCACTGCATATCTGACATCATGCATATCTAAGCAAATGCACACTGCTTTGCCTAAATGTGACCGGTAAAAGACGTTGAACCAGATGTTGTATGATAAATTTTTTTGGACTCCAGATCACAGTCAACAGCATAAGACACTTGTCTTGGCTACCCTTTATACTCCCTTATGCTATGTTTAGATGTGGGCGATTGTGCACAATTGCACACGGTGATTGCCGTGTGGCCCCATTGATTTAAATGGAGTTACATCCATGCGGCAATCGCTAAAGAAAGGGTACAAGTACCTTTTTTTGCGACGCACGACGAGCGTCTTTTTTAGTCAGGAAATTACAGCTGCCAGTGGCAAGATTCTGCAGATGGCAGCTGAATGAAAATACAGCAGGTAGTGGGCTGGTGCAATAGCCAGCCTGCTATTAGCCATTTCAAATTGCAATAGCAGGCTGGCTATTGCACCCGCCCATTGTTTGCTGTGCCCTCCTCCCACTGTGGAGGAGAGAGCTAGGAGATCCAACCAACTAATCGGTAATGGGAATAGTTGACAACTATTCTCATCTATTATTATCGATTAGTTGGTTGCAGCCTTTCTTGATAGGGAAGCCTAGGTATAATCGAATTAGGGTTCCTGCCAGAAACGGAAAATTTTGAATGAAAGTTGTGCAATGTATGGCCACCTTTAGTGGGTCCTGTTGCAAGTTGTCTTTCCCCAGACAGGAAGTGTTCCAGATGCAAAACCTTTCACTGAAAATTCTGAGGCACAGAGTGGAGAGGGGAAGAAAATGGAAGAGCAGCACAGTTTCCACCAAGCACTATAGTCAGAGATGGGGCAGAAACAGATTAGACTGAAGCTAAAGAAATAACAACATATACATGAATGTATTTTTTTCTTTTTTTTTTATGTATTGGCAGTGTGCGCACGGGAGTCTGGAAGATCCCAAGGTCCTAACGCATCATAAGCTGGTCCATGCTGCATCAGAGCGAGTCCTGTCTGACGCCAAGACTATCGCAGAAGAAAACCTTCAGGACAGAGGTGCCCCAGGCCTTGTGGAATGTTCTGAATGAAAATCAGTTTCCTTTTATTGAAAACAATACTGCTACCCCGTTATGTAACCTGTTGCTGATTTACTAACAGCAGACATTCCGCAAGGATGCTGATTTCACTGTTGGATGTTATCATAGCCATGTGCACCTGCAAATCTTGATATGAAATATAGTCCTATAACATATGCAGCAATTATGTAAAAATAAAAAAAGAAACGCTAGTTTTAAAGCGTATTTGTAGCTGTAATTTATCATTTCATAAGGTTACACACAAAAGAATATAAAAATACTCTTAAACAACCAACCAAAACTACCCATGTGTGGCTGCTTTATCAGTGGAAGCCAATAGAATGCTAATTTCTCTGTCCTCTCTTTACAGATGTCCTGCTATTGATTAAAAAGCGGGCACCGCCTCTACCACCAAAGATGGCCGATGTTTCTGCAGAGGAGAAGGTGGGTCTGTGTAATTATTTCGCCATTTATAGGTTAATTTGACATTACCCTTTTGAAAAATAGAAAGGAATTGGCAAGGAAAACAACATTGATCATGTTTTAATTAAGGATGGCCATGTTGCTTGCTTTGCTTAGTTTCCTAAGAATACAACATCTTGGTAATCTTATTCTTGACAGCGGAAGCAGGAACAGAAAGCACCAGACAAGGACGCCATCCTGAAGGCCACTGCTGGTCTACCTGTTCGCAATGCAGACCGTTCCGTGGCTCATCACAACATGAGAGATGTAAGTGCTCGCTTAGATTGGAACTCTATTTGGAGAGGAAATCTCTCCAACAGTTACACAAACAACAATCGCAAACCAATGACCGCCAACTTCCTACACAATATCCACACCTAACAAAGTATTGATTGGACATTTTGATGTGATATCTTATTCTTCTTGTACAGTTTCAGACAGAGCTTCGGAAGATTTTGGTGTCCCTTATTGAAGTTGCACAGAAGTTGTTGGCTCTAAACCCCGACGCTGTTGAACTCTTTAAAAAGGCGAATGGTGAGTTGATGGAGACAATCCAAATGACAAGTTGCTCAGTCAGAGAAATGCTGATCGTATTGTCTGGGTATCGGTCACATCACTGGTTGGTTGTACAATTACCCTTGTTATAGTAGACCATAATCGTTTGGAACCCTTGTTTATATTTCCACAGGGCTGATCTGATTAAAAGCGTAACTCTAGGCAAATATATTAAAAACATCAATTAGATCTAGTATTGTATTCATTGAAGAAAATGAAACGATTTATAAATACAATTTGTTTAAATACCTGAACCTGCACAGCAGCACACACATGTGGAAAGGCAAAGTCTGCTCTAGTAGCCAATCATGACTTTGTACAAGCCGTCAACCTAAATGTGTCTATAGATGTCAGGTGACTTAGGCCTCATGTGGTTAGATAGTAATTCTATCTCATTTATTTACTCGGTGTGTGTGTGTAATAAGTATCACACGCACGCACGCGCACACACACACACACACACATTTTTCAAGCCCTATATAAATATCCACTGGCTTGAAATATCCACTCGTCCTCTCGTCTGTGACGAGAGGACGGTGGAGCCTGACGAGCAGCTTCCCGGCCGGCCATTGTAATTACACGGCCGGCCGGGAGCTTTACATTCAAGCGCTCGGGCGTCTCCAGACGCTCAATCACTTGTATTAGCAGCTCTAACTGCCGTTGCCGGTCCCAAGATCCGCTGTGCCCTATGCGGCACGGCTCTGTGACAGGAGATCAAAGGGAGATCAGTATACGGTCTCCCTTTGATCTCCTCTCAGTCCCCGAATGCAGGAAGTGATGTATATTACATCACTTCCTGCATTCAGTGTCACTCTCCAGCTACAGAAGCTGATGAAGCAGATCTCTGCTTCATCAGCTTCTCTGGGGGTCCCTAGGTGACATTAGGGGTCTTGGAGACCCCTGATGTCTCCATAAAGAGGACCTGTCATGTAAATTGGCTATCTTAGCCCTCCATGTAATAGCAATAAAGTTGTGTGTAAAAAAAAAAAGTAATACAAAAATTAAAGAATCATAAAAAAAGAAAAAACATTTTTAAGTCCCCGCCCCCCACATACACACGCAGATATGCGTCGGGTTCGCCTACGTGAGAAAACGACGATTGCGCCTATTGTGCCGCACATGTCGCATATCGCCGCAAACGTCGGAGTGAGAGCAATAATTTTAGAGCCATTAATCACCAATAACACTAAACTGATGAGCAGTAAAATCGTTTTAATCGTCGCCTATGGGCGTTTTTTGCGATTTTGCGGCCACACACAATTTTAAGGCTTGACATGTTTGATGTTTTTTTAGACGACGTGACCTCGACTTTTATGTTTTACTAAAAATATGGGTAAGAATTAATTTATTTTTTTTACATTTATGGCACTTTTTCCATTTTATATAGTACTTTTTCCATTATATAGTAAAAAAAAAATAACACCCCCCC